GGAGTTTTCAAAACTCAGCTACATGCCAAATTTAGGACCTCATGATTCATGTAAGACATTATTAGTTTTTCAGCTTGGTAAAGGGGCAGCTGCTTGCCATGAAATGGGAGGCTTAATTTAATTGACGGAAAAGGTCATTAAAATTTTTCGCTCTTCATATCACAACTTTTTTTACCTTCCCCCCCTCGTAAAAATGACTTTTTAAATAATGGTGAAAAAATTTTTTTTCTGGAAGTGGCTTCAGTTAAGTGGCAATGAGTTTAGGACAACACAATGCAGGCAGCTTTCCCCACATTTTGCTTCTTTGCAAGATGAGTAGGATGTGTGTCTACCTAGGTACCTACCCTACATGTCTCCAAGAAACCCTTATCTCCTGTGAGCAAAAATTACTAGATCTATATACTGCCATTGGTGGAAAGGTCTTTTCTCCTTTTAATTAATGTGTTCCATCACATAAACTTGTTTTCTTTTGAACTAAGACAGGTTGCCATCTTGGGATGCAGGAATGGGGCAATGGAGACATCACCTACCTGGTGTAGAGAGTGGTTTTATGGATTCTACTTGCCTTAATTTCCCAAGGCTAAATGAAATGCCTTCCACTGGCTTCCCCCAGCACCTAGGCTCTGCCCATCACATGATTCATCTCTCTGCCTGTGTCTCCCATGGGGTCCAAGTTCTTTAGGCAGGCTGTCTTTAATCTCCACGGGTACTGCCCCCAGTCTAGTACACATACTGGGTGTCGGTGAATTAAAGCACGAGGGAATAAATGAATGAATCAGTGGAGACAATTCTGACTGGCTTAGCGTGCAGAGAAGGTTGAGTATGGCCCAGGGAGCTGCACCAGTGAAGGTTCTAGGGCACCTGAAAGCTGAAGGAGGGAGGGAGGGAGGGAGACATGGATGGATCGAGGAAGAGAGGGACGGAAGGAGGCAGGAAAAGGGCTCTGAGGGCAAGGACAAAATTTTGAACATCGTGATTCTCTCCAGGGTCCGAGAGTAAGTGTCTTGTTTTATGAAAATAAACTTTTTGTAAAGTGTTCTGGTAGGGGTAAATGTGTTCTTCAATTGCTTATTGTGTCCTCACTACGATGCTCCCATTCTTTTTTTTCTTTTTGAGTTGGAATCTCATTCTGTCACCTAGGCTGGAGTGCAGTGGCACACTCACGGCCACCCCAGCGTCGACCTACCGGGCTCTGGTGATCCTTCTGCCTCAGCCTTCCAAGTAGCCTGAACTACAGGCGTGTGCTACCACACCCAGTTAATTTTTGATTTATTGTAGACATGAGGTCTCTCCAAGTTGCCCGGGCTGATCTCGAACCTGCGGGCTCAGGCAATCCTCTCACCTCAGCCTCCCAAAGTGCTGGGATCACAGGCTGAGCCACTGAGCCCGGCTGATGCCCCCATTCTTAATCCATGTGTTCCATCAAGACTTTCTTCCCACTCCCTATGCTGTGGCCAGTCTGGCCCCTGTTCTTCTACCCACCTGGTACAGCAAGCTGCAGTGGGTCCAAAGTGGTGGGGCTTTGGTGTGACACGGTCCTGAGTTCAGGACCTGTATCACCACTTACCGTTGAGTCCCAGAGCAAATTACTTTGTGTCTCTGGGTTTTAGCTTCCTCATCTAATAAAATACTTCTTTGAGCCTTGGTTTTCTCATCTTCTATATAATCTACCTTGTGTGATCATTAAGAGGATTAGGGGGCATAGAATATATAAAGCCCAGAGCACTGGGCCCATCCTTTCAGTAGTAGGGAGGCACCTGGTAAATATTGGTATGCACCCATCCTTTCATTCCTTTCTCAGCTTAGTAGGTTGGTCCTTACCATCCTCCTTCCCCGATTTACCTCATATTTACTGATGCTTTAGGGACCCATTTGAACATCACCTTCTCCACAAAATCCTCCCCACCCTGTCACTGAAAGCAGCCTTTCCTCCCCTGCAGTCTGTCCTCATCTTCTAAACATCTACGGTACTTACCACTTTCTTTCTGGTGCCTCAGTGATTGCTGTGTGTTATTTGTCCTCCCTGGTCTATAAGTTCCATGGGGTCAAATTGCCCACCTTTTAATCTTGTTTTCCCAAATCTCCTAGCGGAATAACTCACATACAGTAGGTACTTAAAAATAATGAACTGAATATGTGCAGGCAAATTCTCTATATTGAGAACTCATCATTCAATTATTCTTTGTATTCGGGGTGGCCTGTACAATGCATCTTCTCACTTAGTCCGCTTAGAGAAAACAACCCCAACAAAACCCAGGCTTCACTGCAAGTAGCTGACCTCATACAACGTCCAGAGAAGTCCCTAGAAACGGTTATAAATAATGACTTGTCACATGGGCAATCACAATATAGCCCTTCTCACGGGGTAGTCACAATTCTAAAACTGTGAAAATACTTAAATGGAGGGGGTATTTCCCAAAGACTAACTAGTCCACAGTTATTGCCCCAGACATTTTTGTTTTTATGACGCTTTCTCAAATTGTACAGCATGGAGGTGACATCAATCACAGTTATTATTATTATTTTCCAGTGGGAGGGGAGAAACCCTTGAGAATGCGAAGAGGCCACACACGGTTGTTGCCAGGTCTGAGATTACAGAGTTGGCTTTGAGTCTTTTAGATGGGGTCCTGGAATTAGTTTTAAGCCAGACCTGCCTTGTCATGGAGGCGGCTGTCAAAGGATGTAATCTGAGGTGGCTGGGTGAAGAGCGCTTGGTCCAAAATATCCTTTTTACTAGTACCTGAGAGGGATTGCTATGTGCTTAGAAGATTTTAAAAAATCTTCTAGAGGTTCCTATTCCAGGTGGAGGGTTAATCTTAACCAGTATTTCCACAACGGCTCCACCAGAAGCTCTATAAGAAAGTCTGGAAAACACTGCGTACTCACATCTCTGTTGACAATTTACTGTATGTGGCAGTGCACAGTAGCATACTAAAGGCTCCGAGAAGTCACATGGTTAAGGAACCTATTTAACTTAATGCAGACGCCCTCCCACTTATTCAACTATGAAATCAATCTTTCTTGCTTGCTTGCTTCTGCTTTTTTCCTGGTAATTGCAACACTTCTAGTGACATCATGTGAAACTAGTATTTCACAGAACACGCTTTTAAAATGCTGCTTTCACTGCTATTAGCTATCACCATAATGGGGATACGTTTTCAGCTAAGGATGGGACCTGCAGAGATATGCATAAATGGATGGGAAAGTCAGAAGAAGGATAAAGAAGGTTAAAGGTGACTCAGAAGGGCCCTCAGACACAAGCTGATAGTCTTGCTAAGGGCCAGCCATCGTTCTCATATCAGATATTATTTGACTTTGTTTTCCTGCTTCCAAAGCCCCATCATTATCGAGTGATAGCATCAGATTGGAAGAAGAATGTTGCATTTTCACCTAATTGTGAATTGTCTGGTGTAGGGAGGAAAGAAAGGAAGCACTTGGACATTTGCTCAGATGGCTGTGAGAAGAGGAAGGAAAATAGAAGGGGGACAACTGAGGTGGCAGGGGGACAGAAGGTGCACCGCCAGATAGGAAGAGAAGGGTGGAAGGCAATGGACAAGATGGAGGAAAGAGAGAAAGTGGAAGGTCCTGACAGGTCAGGTGGAAACTAACAACCCCCCCCCAGCCAGGAGTAAATGAACAGCCGGGACAGGAGCCTTCCTTTAAGGCATGAATCATGGATGGCTCTTTCTATCCCCTCGGAGGTAGGACGCTTATTCCTGCAGGCAGCATTCTGCCATTGGGCCTCTTGCTATCCAGGGGGCTGCATTTCCTCATATTGCTGGCAGGGCCCAGTCTGATCCTAACATTGGCCTGTTGCTTTAGAAAACATATCACAGTGGTTAATGTAAAGCCAGCAATAGAGAAGGGCCCAGGTGGTATGCAGAAGCCAGAGTGGAGAGGGGCTGAGAAGGGACTTCCTCTTATCCAGGGCTGTCGGATGTTTCATTTCTTGCATGCAAAGCAATTAGGAGATCTTTGGCAAGCTAAGGCAACTTAGAAATATCGGAAGCTGAAAGCAAGATATGCAACCCATTTGGGAGTTTCTCTTTCATGTGGAAGGATAAAATTAACTATTCTTGTCAGTATCATTGTAAATGTCACTTAATAACCTTAAATGTTTCCATAACTTACAAATATTATATATTATGCAAAAGGTGGAGGTATGTATGTGTTAGGTGAGATAGGCGATTTGGGACCTAGGACAGTCCCTTTATAAGAATTCAAAAATCTTCAAATTGCTCTTACGTGGTGAATCTAAATCAGAAAAGAGATTCTGCCCAGGGCAAGGGTGTGTTCTGGAGTAGTGCCTGGAGTTCATTTATAAATACATTATAAATAAATCTCTACTCAGGGAAAGTGATTAAAATAATATGCCCAACCTCATGGAGTAGGAACTCCAATGTAGACAATTCTACTGGCTGGCATGGTAGCCCCAGCACTAATCTCAGAGTAATGCTCTTGTCTGATCCCTTAGGGCCTGCCGGGACTGAGGATGTGAGCTTACAGTCCTCTGCACCAGAATCAGGCTGGTAGCTGGTTTTAAGGGTGGGAGTTCTTTCAGATCTCTCATTCCTTTGCAAAAATCGGAAAATTATCAGAACATACGTCACCCTCCCTCTGAAATTAAAGACTTAGCAAAAGAGTGTTGGATGAACATTTCTACATGTCACTGTGAGCCTTTGGAAGAAATAATGCTGATGCAGTGGTTGTTTACTTGTGTTTATACTCCTGACACCATTTCTCTGAGTATGTTACATAATTAAGATGGTCTGGATTGTTTGAATGATTAACATGATTACCCATGGTATTGCACGTCTCCGATTCCAAATAAACACAATGGCAAAAACTAGACAAAAATGCAGAAAGAATAATAAGGTACACAATGTCACTGAAGTCATGCAAAGAGGAACAAAAAAAAAGATTAAAAAAATGAGCAAGCAACAGACACCATAAATGAAAAAAAAAAAAGCCAATGCATACAATTCTAAAATCATTCTTACCTTCTTCAGTCATTGTGTCATAATATTTTAGTTTTCCATATGATCCAAGTTCTACAACATCACAGTAAAAGACACAAAGATAAGGAACGAGCTATAATGCAAGAACTTTGTTTTTACACATTTTTAATTAATCAGATTCAGAGTTACACTGTCAAATTCTGCAATTGTAACTATATGGAGATATGCAAACATGGGCCATGTGGCAGACAGCTTCCACGGCCCATTTTCAGAAATCACTTAAAATATGATTCCACTGGGGGGTAGGATGTGCCCTGCATTCCTGAATAGGGCATGGTTATTTTAACACCGACAAAACAGAATACTTGGCAAAGATACCTTCTCCCCAGGCCTACCCTAGCCCTGCCATTTTTACGGAGGTGACACTCCAAGTGAAAGGGACAGAACAAGAACAAGGTCCAGGCCCATGGAAGCTTGCAGACACTGAGATTCCCCACCATGGAGCGGCCATTCCCGAAGTGCATGCCGCAGCTTTTTTCCGGCAGAACCACTTTCTAGAGAACAAGGAAGGCTACCTTGGAAAATCCAAAGTGGAAAACCAGTTCTAAACGTCCCTTTCACATCTTATTTTGTATGTTAGATAGAAAACACTGGACAGCCAGCTGGGAAGAGCTGCAGAAGGCACGGTGTGCTCGGCAGGAAGAGGGAAGCATGTTTCCAGGGGAGGACCACCTGGCTCAGACAGGTGACAGAACTGCCACGACTCCCACTTGCGGACCAAGGCCCCTGCTGAGGCTGAACAAACAGCAGGGTGCAGGGGAAGGACCAGAGGCTCTTCCTCTGCCTGTAGACGCCCCTGCAATGGAAACCCCTGGCGGAATGGGCGAGAGCAGGTGGGGATACACCATTCCTGCTTTCTTACTTCAGTTTCAAAATAGAAATTTTTATTCTTGTTTGTCTGAAAAATCCCAGATTGTTTGAAGCAACATTGTGAGCAGGTTAAAAATATTTTTCCTGGTCATGACAACACTCTCCCAATAAACTTCAAGAAATTAATGAGACTCAGGAGAGATCCCTGTGATGCTGCAGCATGCTCCCATGAACTTGGGTGGCCGCTGGGAATCCTTGCATGAGTCAACTTAAAACGGATGGGTTTGTGTGAGTGATGAAGACTCTGACTTAAAATGCAATAAGAAATATTCCTGTATTTTATATGTATATTATACATTCTTTATATATTTTTCCACGTGCCTAGACTTTTTTTTTTTTTACACCTAAAACTGTTTTAATACACCAGTACAAAATTCTGTCTTGGGGGAGGAAAATCACCTCATCTTTGGTGTTTCTGCAAAAACATGCCAGTATGGCTTTTGACAGATACATTTAAAAAGATGCTTCAATAAGAAATTGAATTTTATGCAAATAGCAAGACTTTTTTTTTTAATGACTTATGGGGATTGCCATCCATAGAATATATTTTTTTCTGGTATTTTAAGAATCATGTTCTATCATATTTTTGATATTGCACAAGTTTGAAATTCTTAAATGATCTGAACACCTTCATAAGCATCAAACACATGTTCATAGTGGCTTCACACATAATGTGTACGATTGTGTATGTGAGGAATCGTGCAGTGAATTGATAAATCATGTCAGTCAACTGTTTTGTGATTTCTCTTCCTTCCCTGAGGTGAGCAGCAGAATAAGCAGCTGGTATTGTCTAGAATTTGCTCAGGAAGCAGAATGCGAGAGTCTCCGTGTTTGCAAAGTTGGATGTACACCACACTCTTGATGGGGAAGCTACACCATTACGTTTTGATGACTCTGTCTTTCTAGGTGCAAGCCTCTCTGCGTGCACACACCTGTTTCCATGTGTCATTCTCAAACGTCAAACATCTGCTTCTGGCAGATGATGTTATTCTTCACCTCATCTCTTGGGGAAGCAAGTATAGATAAATAAACACAGTCACATGGTTCAGCTATCGCTTTATTTTTACATAGCTGAAATTGGAACGGTGGGTGTTCGACAAAGCTCACACATTCTTGCCACTGTGGCGGTGACTAGATCGTCTCTTAGCTGCTTTTTTGGATGGGGAATAGGACAGAGGGACAAGAACTAGGCAGAACACGCCAAAAATAGGGCCGGCGGTGGGAGAAGAGAAAGAAGAAGAGTAGTGGAAAGCTGAGCAAGAGCCAGTGACATGGCAACTCAAGGCCCAGTGAGGAAGGAATGGAAGGGAATGATATCCGCCCAAGCAAGAAGAACTATGTTAGCATCTTACTGAAGAAAGGGCAGAAGAGAATGGAGAAGAAAACCAGCCTGCCAGAATACAGTCTTTCACATCGACAGCCAAGGGGTGGTGAGATGGAGAACTCTGCAGAAGCATCCTGGGTTGGGGGTGCGGGGTGGGGAGCGGGTGAGCAGCTCCAGGAGCCAGGTGGCCCTCCTCCCTGAACCAGAGCTCAGGAGTTGCAGGAGAAGGAATGTGACATGCAGCTAGGACAAACGCAACATGCACACAGAGCTCATCATGCACCTGGCTGGGGTCCTACAGCCCATGACACCTCGTGGAAAGTGGCTTTCACCCCTGTCGAAGGCCTTTGGCCAGATCCAACCTGGCTGAGAGGACCTGGGAGGCACGAATGAACACTCACCTGCACAGGAGCATGGCTTCCGATCGGCACACTCCCTGTAGTGAATAACCAAGCTCCTTTAACATGACTGGATTAGGATGCAAACTGGGGCTAATCCAAGATTAGGGTTTTTTTTGGTATAGGAGGGAGGAAGTAAGGGAGTTCAAGAGTCTACTGGTCAACACCATCCAGCGGGATTCACTGTAGTAACTCGGCAAGAGGTAGTTAGTATTAAGAGGCCATGAGCCACCTGTGAATGTCATGCTGGGTACCCTATGGTACCTCTTCTCCATAACATTTCTCTATGAAGACCACACAGACTGAGAAAGAAATTCTAGAACCCAGTGGTTAGTGTTTGTGAGGAGCCTGTAATCCAATTTGAATGCTGTCCGTCATGGGAACCACACTTGCTTGCATGTCATTTGGACAGCCGTGGTCACAGGTGTCCAAGTCCCTGGGGCTCTAGCAGAATTAAACCTTTCAATATTCCTTCTTTCACTTCCTTTCGATCTTGCCATCAATATCACTACCCAGCTTTAAGGTACCTTGTACCTCCAAATTTGTGTTCATATATCATAATTGGCAAAATTAAAGTAAGGGTCTTGTCTTCAGCCCTAAAAACAAACAAACAAACAAAAGAACCCCCCAAGAATAAGAACTAGTTTTGGGGCTCCTAATTTCCTCTTTTCTTGAGAAGTACATGGACACAGATTTCTCCTTCCAGACATTCTCTTTCTCAGCTTTACTTTTGAGGCCTTTGGTGTTCTCAGCCCTTTTCCTGCAAATCCCCAAAGTGGGAACAGCAGAAAAATGACTTTTCACATTTGAGGTCTCAAAATTCTGACGTGTAAAACTGAAAATCAGTAGAGGCATCTACACTGAGTTTATTTTATTGGAGTGATAAATAGAGGTAGCAAAGTCAATGAGAGCAAGCATTTATTATTTAACTGTTAGTTAATGGGAAAAAATAATGTATAACTTTTTTCAATAAAAGGGCAAATTTTATTTTTGGTGTTGGTTTGACTTGTGTAAAGACCTAAAAATTGAGGTTTGCTCAAAACAAATAGTACTTTCTTAGTCAAGTTATCTAATACCTACCAAGGAGGGAAGCATAAATGCTGGATTGCATTATACCTGTGAAAGGATTATTTTCAGTAGTTTATGGAAGGAAAGAATATAGGTTTTGAAGTCAGGGTGTAGGTTTGCACTCAAGATCTGCCACTTTTTAGCTGTGTGACTTTGAGCAAGTTGCTTCACCTCTCTGAGCCGCAACTATAAAGGTGCATGGTAATTGTATCTACCCCATAAGATGGTAGTGAAGGGTAGTGATATGAGGATACACACTAAACAATCAATAATGGGAAGCTATCACTATTGTAAGAACCACCAAGAAGAGTGAAGGAGAGCCCATGGGACATGAAGCAGGGCAGTTAGAGAACTTGGTATGGTTAAATAAATTCAGCACTACTTATAGAGGTTTTAAATAGGTATTTGTTCAACAACAAGACATTCTGGAGGGGCACGGTGGCTCACACTTGTAATCCCAGCACTTTGAGAGGCCAAGGTGAAGGATCACTTGAGCCTGGGGTTCAAGACCAGCCTGGGCAACATAGTGAGATTCATCTCTACAAAACAATAGAAACATCAGCTGAGTGTGGTGGCACACACCTGTAGTCTTAGCTACTCAGGAGGCTGAGGCAGAAGGAGCGCCTGAGCTCAGAGGTCGAGGCTGCTGTGAGCCACGATCATGCCATTGCACTCCAGCCTGGGTGATAGAGTGAGATCCCTGCTCATAAATAAATAAACAAACAAATAATTAAATAAGTAAAACAAATAAATAAATACCTCTTCGTCATTCCATGCACAAATTCCTGCTTCCAAGTGACAATGACGTCCAGGCTGTTTTGGTTTGTCGAACCTCCCTGGACCTGCTGAAGTCAGGAAGGCTGGCACTGAGATCTGAGGCTTCTTGACTGTTGATATCCGATATCACTATCCAGGTGAAGATAGCGAATTCAAAGCTTGGCTCTACTACTTATGAACTGAGTGGCCCTCTCTGAGTCTCAGTCCCTTTGTTCTGTAAGATGGGGAGAGGAGCTATACGCCTCTTCACAGGAGAATTTTTGGAGGATCAGTTGAGACACGTCTATAAAGCACTTTGCACTGGGGTGGTTCAAGCAACTTTAATAACTGGTACCTCTCTTCATTGTCTGCCTAAGGTCTACCACGAACATCAGCCAAACACAAGGTAGTTAAATCCTAATTAAACCCCAATTAGCTCTGTAGGTAGGCATCGATTTACACTTGACACGTGCAAGTCAACAAAACTCTCTACACTTCATACCTTAAACACAAGGAAGGCTGTCAACAGAAAAAATTTCAAAGGCTGTCTTGGCTAAGTTCCAGAACCATGTTTTGCAATATTAACATTTTAGCCTGAAGGTAAAAATTTTTATTTT